ATCCCCAGAGGCCCTCCAGTTTAGAATTTTACCAGGAAAATCCATACCCTCTTATGCAGCTGACTCTGTACATAGCAGGTGCTCAATAAATCAAAATGGATGGATAAATGGATGGGTAGAAGGAACGAGAAAAAGTAAAGATGAGGAAATGCCTTTGACATCAGTATATTGCATATTGGTGTGCAAATACTGATGTAGTCCCAACAAGGGACTACATGGATCTAGTCTTCATGAACTTATTTCACTCTTGTCAATCTCTGTTACTTCATGGGGGGTAACACAGACAACAGTTTGTTTCTGTAGTCTGGACGAATTTTGTTGTCCTAAGACTTCCCTGTTTCTCCTGCTGCAGATGACCCCTTGGATTCTGGATGTCTGGTGCCATAGAGAGAGTACAGGATATGGAGTAGAAGCCTGTTCTGTCAATCAATAGTTTAAATTCCAGCCCATCATTTAATGGTTCTATAACCTCTGAGCCTATGTACCTTGTCTCCTCGAGCTTTGTTTTCATCTGTAAAAATGAGAGAATAAATATTCCATAACGTTGTAGGGAAGACGCCTATCTTCCCAATGACACAAAACATGTAATAAATGCTGGCATGTTCCCTTACCCCATGCTTCCTCACTGTCACTATTCTATAGATTTTAATCACGATCTAACACAAAACGCAAATATACAGATTTCATTGTATTTAGAACTTGACAAGACTAGGTTATCCTAGACTGGTGGTCCTCCATCCTGGGTGGCTTTTTCCCCCAGAGGATGTATGGCAATGTCTGGAGACGGTTTTGGCTGTCACAACTGGCAGCGGGAGGTGGGTGTGTGTGCTACTGGCTTCTAGCGGGTAGAGAACAAGGCTGCTGCTAAAACATCCTGCAATGCACGAGACTGCCCCCGACAAAAAAGAATCATCTGGCCCCAAATGTCAGTAGCGCTGAGGTTGAGGATCCTCATGACCCTAGGACTCAATCCATTTCTCTGTCCAGCAAGGGACAGGAGGGCGCTCGGAGAGGACCGTTCCCCGTAGCATCCCTGTGTGGAGCACCCTCCTTTACCTCCCAACCCTTCAAGCCCCAGCTCCAGCCCTGTATCATCTGTGACATTTTCTTTGAGGCCCAGAGGACCCACTTCTCCCTCCCTTGGTCTCTCAAGGTTCGGCTGCTGGTTTGTAACTCGCACTGTATACATCTCAGTATATTCCCATTTCACACCTATGCTATATACATTAGGCACTTGAGCAATTAGGATTCACACCTTCTCGTGGTGGTTTACAAAATGGCGAAAGGAAGCTGGCATTTGTGCAGTCTTGGCGTTTCTCTGGTGAAGGCTGTTTTGAAACTTCTTCTGCAAGTGGCTGTTAATGGACTGATAATTGGTTTCCTGACTTCCTTATGAAGTGTGAAGTATTCTGCTAGCCTGTCAACAAAGCATCAAGTGTTGTGCAAACCACCATCAGAGTTATTTGTATCTTCCTTCCCTTGTATCTCTTGTCGTGGAGGAATAAGTGGACAGGCTCTCGATGTTCCTGTGAGGGAGGTGAAGAGTATGTGTAACCTGCGGGGAGCTTTCTCACCAGGACCCCAGGTTGAGCATGTTTCCCAGGCAGAGCCCAAAGAGCTCTGACTCCAATGCCTGGCGCTTGGCACGGGGTAGACACACAGTAAATACTGTTGAATGGACGGAAAGTGGCACTGGTGCCACCTGATTTGGAGCAGTGATCCCTGGAGATGTGAATTAGCCAAGGAAGAAGAGAGAGTAAGAGGAGAGAAGCTGGCTCCATCTTTTCTTTCAAAATGCTTTTCACTGCGAGAAACATCATCTTCTTTAAAACCGAGTGAAAAAAAGACCATCTATTGAGCATCTACTGCTGTGAGGACAGATCGAAAGCCAACGAGATGATTCTGAAGTCTCTGCTTGCTACAGAAAATGTTTTGGAACATGAAGGCAACAGTGTACTTGTGTAGTCTCGGCAGGCAATTCCCGAGTAAGGAACTCTTTTGAAGAAAATGTTTCAAGAGAAGAACAATGCGCTGCTGTGCACTTTTTGGACAAATGTTCAAAGAAATTTGAGCCATCAAAACATCCCCCCAATCCTCTTCTAAACCCTCAGAAGGAAAGAACAGTACTGTTTGCTAAATATCGTGTTAATATTTATTGTGACTAATGTGTGCTAAAATTTAGGACACTTAAGCTGATGTTTGCTAGAGGTGCTTTTCTATGTACATTTATGACCACATTATAAAACACAGAGGCTGACTGTACTATTTTATACTTTTATAAATGCTTACAGATGTTGTCCCTTTTCTGCAGATCACACACTATGATATATTTGATCTGGGATCAGGCAGAACGCCAAATTTTAACTTTATCCCTTGAAGCATGAGCTGCTCTGTAAATGTCCCAGTTTAGAGAGTGGTTTCCAAGTATTCACGATGGAAAATGTGAGGACTGTCCATGTCACTGTTGTCTTTTTCTATAAATACGATCATAGAGGCTTAGAATTTGGGGAGTGCCACCCCATCGGATAGATTAGTAAACCAAACTCCAGAGGGAAGTTGCCCTGGCCATAGTCACAAAACTGAGCCAGGACTAAGATACAGGTCTCCAGATGTTGAATCCAAAGTTCTCTCAGAGCACCCGGATTTTCTTAGTACCATCTTTCACCACCTGAGGGCAGAGCCCAGGACCTAGGGATGCATCAGCTTAGGGGCTGGGTACTCAGTAGAGAGCGGACAGATGGCACTCACTCGTGACCTTGCTTGTGGTGCAAAGGCCTGGGGCCAGCTGGCTCTCCCTGGCCTCCTCCACTGAAGCCAGCACCCCTGAGACTCAAGCTGTGTCTCTTACACCCAAATGACCAGAAAAGCCCTAGTAATGGGAGTACCTTGGGGATACCATCCCCCACCTCCCAGAATCATTCAGAAGAAGAGATGCCATCCTAGCCCCCCAGAGTGCCTGCTTCACAGTTCTCATCAGTAAGCCTGGGGCTCCTCTTCCTTATTTTATTATTATTATTTTATTTTATGCAGTACGTGGGCCTCTCACTGTTGTGGCCTCTCCCGTTGCGGAGCACAGGCTCCGGACGCGCAGGCTCAGCGCCCATGGCTCACGGGCCGAGCCGCTCCGCGGCATGTGGGATCTTCCCGGACCGGGGCACGAACCCGCGTCCCCTGCATCGGCAGGCGGACTCTCAACCACTGCGCCACCAGGGAAGCCCCTCTTCCTTATTTTAAACCACAGAGAGCACCGCCCCATATCTTCCAGGACTGCTCTGCCCTCATCTCTTCTCAGGTGATTGTAAGCAGTACCCAGCATCCTGTCAGCTTTCCTCCTGGAAACGAGGGGCCTGCTGAGCAGCACTTACAGAAGGTTCTAGAAACATTTCCTGAAACTACTTCTAAGAGCCAAAGGGTCAAGTAAATTCCTGGAGGGCTTGAGTGACAGACCCCACCCCCCCTCCCCCAGTAGCGTTCTGCTCCCCGCATCTCTCAGCTTGTGAGGCAGGGAACTTTATCCTGGTTCCAAGTGGCTGGCTGGCTCTGCTACACACTTCACTCCTGCGCCAGAGACCTGACCCTTTCCAGTTCTCCCTGCCTTGTCTCACCTAGATGGATTTCAGAGATGGAACACCCACACTAGCTGGGACTCCCACAGTCTGGACCTTTGCCTTCTGAGGTCCTGCCTCCGACCCACCCTGGGGAACTCCATTCCATCCACCCACTCTGCCCTGGGCTCGTTTCTAGACTGTCAGGCCCTTTGTTCCTGCCTGCCTGGAGCTGCCCCCTGCTAACCTCCCCTGCCCCTCTGGTCCCCTTGGCTTTCAGGGTACACATATCTAACCACACTGGGCCAGAGATGGGCAGCCAATTTCATGCAATTTTATTTTTTTCAGTAAGGGCGATTTGCTTAATGTGTATCTAAGAACGATTTGATCTTTAAACCTCGGCAAGAATTCTTACATAAGCTCGCAAGTCATCAAAAATGCTTTGTCAACTACACAAAGTGATTTTTTTGTTTGAAAAGTAGAATCACCGTGGTATGACCCAACTCACCAACTTACATGCCAAACTCTCTGTCATCACAGATACTCCCTTATAGTCTCCCATGTCATTCCTCTCCCCGGCCCCAAGGGGCAACCACTCTCTATGAGGCAGCACTCCAAGGCCCTGAGAAGCCCACTGAGATGGCAAGAAAGATCAGAGGGTCAGTCTGTCTGCCCTTCCCCGAGGGAAGCAGATTGTAAGAGACGGAGAGGGGCAGTGGCGAGGGCTGGGAGAAGAGGTGACAGCCCCGAGAGGTGGAACCTTTGATTTCTCAACAAAGACCAAGCCTGCTCCCGTATACACAGTCCCCTTACACTTGCCAATTTCCCTGGGAGCCAGGACTTAAAGTATTCTTTGCGCCGGAAAGTGAGGTCAGACCATCCCAGAGAAAGGAAGAAAGGATTCCTTGTTATCTCCGGAGAACAGAGCACTCAACTCCAACCCTTTCTCTGAAAGATCAACAATTCAAAGACAGCTTGATCCCCATCCCTCCCTAAATCCAATGCAAGAGGAAGCAATCTGATGAAACTTTGTATACATCCCCGCAAGGCCATGGTGTCTCATGGTACCCCAAGGCTGGCACAGAGTCTACCGTCTCACGAAATCATCGCCAGCACCTTCTGCCCTGGCTTGACTATATGGCGTCAATGACAGCAAGAAGGGTGAGGAGGAAATGTCAGGGTCTGACGTTGCTCTCAAGGGTCACCAGGGAGAGTAAGATGGCGTTGAAGAAGGCCCCCAAATGTCAAGAGCAATCATTCTCAGTGCTATGATCCACGTCACTGCCAGAAATGAGGACTCAGCCAGCAACGTTTTGAGAAGGAGAAGAAACCAACCAGAGTGAAGCTACGGTTACGACCTACGAGGTTCCCAAGGATGGGGTCCGGATTAGCTAGGAAATGGGCCCCTGGCCTCTCGGTGGAGACCCCGACGCGGCGCCCTCCCCGCTCACTTACACACGCAGCCTGGCTTCTTAGCCGACCACTGGTTATTCTTTTGGCACGTGATTGCCTTCTGCCCCACCAGCTCAAAGGCCGGCTGGCACTCAAACTGGAGTGTATCACCGTGGCGAAACCAGGAGCCTTCCCTCCAGCCGTAGGCAGGTATGCCAGGATCTCCACAACTGCCCTGCTCGATCTCTGCAAGACAGGAAAAGAGAAAACAGAGACACATGGTGACTCCATGCCTCTCAGAGCTGGAAGGCCATGCTGCACCTCTGCCACGAGGCTGGGCTCGGAGGGACCCAGGTGGGCTTTTGATGAGAAACCCTGCAAGGTCGTGTTTAAAACAGCATCTTGGGAGGATGAGGCCCTCCTGCTCTCAAATGCCTGGACTCTATGTCCACACAGTGTTCCAGGTGCTTGGATATTTTCATTCAGGGAAGGTGGGTCTACATGCTTTGTGAGACAACTGTCCTAGGAATTCACAAGCTCACGGGTCGGAGCGATCTTTACTGACTTGACTCGCATTCAGATTGCTCACGTCACTTGATAGATTTTCAGCTCAGTCCCTTCCTGAGCCGTCCAGGCAAGCGCAAGATGAGAAGGTGGCTGACGGTTTGCTGCTTGCCTTTCCGCCAGCCAGAGACTAAGTGAGAATCAATATTCACTGGCTTCTGATATGGAAGCACTTTCACGAAGATACATTTTTAATTCAATTTAAGATGGGAGCAGGTAAAATGAAACACATGACTCATTAAGTATGCCTTTAAATTTTCATTTGATTCAACAGCGGTGAATCAGACAGGGAGTGGGTTCCCTGAGACGGCTCTGAGGGTCTGGGCTCTGGGGACATGATGGGCTGGCTGCCTCGTGGCAGAGTCAATCAGGACCCCGACGTTCCAGGAAAGGAGTCTGTCCTGGCCAAGTCCCTGGAGTTTCCCCCGGAGCTGCCCCCGCCTCCACCAGCCCTGTGCTTGGTGCTGTGAGAGATGAAGGGCAGGGAGGCGGGGAGGAAGAAGCAGGAGAGAGGGCGGGGGAGGAGCTCTGCTCCCAGAGAGGAAGGCACCCTGCAGGAAGGACGCGAGGCATGGCTGATGTGACAGATGGTGAGGTGAGGACGGCAGGAGTCCTATGATTCGGGAGAGAGGCGGCTGGAGTAAGGGGAAGTTTTTGGACACCTTCCCAGGACTGTCAGGCCAAAGGGACCCTACGCTTTCCGTAGGCACCATTATGGGCTGCCAGGAGCCATAGTCCCCGAAGTTGCTGTGCATGGCCCTGACACGGGTGATTCTGCAAAAGCTTTCTTACCACAGCTGTTGGGCCCTGTGGGCTGGTCAGGTGAGCCCGGAGTACTGCCACCTTACATGGATGGGCTGTTGACTGTCACATTCATGGCTCCCTACTACTGGCAGAACAAGGCATTCTTTGGCTGGGATTGTGTGTGTGTGTGTGTGTGTGTGAAAGAGAGAGAGAGATCTAAGTCAAACAGCAAGAGTCCTTGGGTTCGGGGGAGAAGAGGGGTCTGTGTGAGCAGACACCAGGCCTGAGAACTCAAGGGTGGGTCAGCTCACCTGCCTCTCATCTCACATGTGCCCCTGGCCTGTCCCTCTACACACAGCCTGAAAGCACACCTCAACCCTCCTCTGAAGCTGGCTCTTCTCCTGCCAAGGCTGGGGGAGGGCAGCCACTGAGGCATTCCCAGGAAGGTGGCCCCTTGGCTCCAGATCCCAGAGCCCCAGGGGATCGGAGGAACGGAAGACGGGCCCCGGGACAAGTCAGCCTGCAGGAGTGAGCAGCGAGGCCCTCTTTCTTCTGGTGTCCCCAAACACGTTCTCTCTGGGGCGTGAGGCCCTGGCGAGGACTGTCACTGCGGGCATCCTGAGACCTGGAAGAAGGTACCCAGTGTTTGAAGACAGAGCTGGGGCTCACTGCCTGGGACAGGACCCAGGTTTAAGGTGTCCTGGTGAGGCCCCAACATGCTGTAGAAGATGTAAATGTGGGGTCCACCTGCCTGCATCTTAGACCACAGCAGGTACCCTGAAGGTGTGATCAGCTCCAGAGGACAAGCATCCTGAGCGGGAGGAAGAAGCTGCCCAGGCCTCTCCACTGGGCAGGCCTGGCTGTTTCCACACCCATCCGGTTTCTCCTGCCGTCAGTGCGAGCAGAAGCATATAATGAGCACCTACTGTGTGCCAGTCCCTGTGCCAGACACTTGAGACCTGGACGTGGGCTCTGGTCTCAAGGACTGAACAATCCTGACAAGGAAGCGAGTATTTACGACACAGGGTGGTTTGTGCCATGGATGCGCCCAGGAGGAGCAACACAACTCAAACTTGGAGGGTGGGGCTGGAAACAGGGTGCGGGAAGTGATGCACTAACCTTGCACACAAAACTGTAGGGAGCACAGAAACTCAGCCATCTAGACAAATCCGATCTTAGTGCAATATTATGTTTTTAGAAAATCAAAATTGATGCCTATAAATCAAATCCAACATGAAGAAAAACACCAGAACTTAATAAAAAGACCAGATCCGATCCAGCACTTGCACAGCTCACCTCACTTGTCCCACCCTAGTCCTGGCCATCAGAGCCTGTCATTATTGAAATGCTCTTTTTTTATCATGGATATTTTGCATTAATCTTGGTTTTTTAAAAATACTACATTAAAATATTATTTAATTACTGAGTTCTTTGGTGCCTCCCTTAAAATTATGCCCAAGGTGAATGTCTCTCTCATCTCAGCCCAATCCCAACCCTGGCATCAGGGAAGGCTTCCTGGAGGAGGCCTTCTTGGAGGATGTTTAAGCTGAGGCCTGAAGCCTGTGTAGGAGCCAGCAGGTGAAAGGAGTATGTGGGATTCATTGCAGTGTTATTTACTAACAGCCAAGCCATGGAAACAACTTACGTGTCCACTGATGGATGGACAGGTAAAGAAAACGTGGCACACACATACAATGGAATATTTCTCAGCCACAAACAAGAAGGAAATCCTGCCATTTGTGACATGGGTGAAACTTGAGGGCATTATGCTAAGTGAAATAAGTTGTACAGAGAAAGACAAATACCGTATGATCTCACTTATATGTGGAATCTAAAAAAAATGAACTCATAGAAACAGAGAGTAGAATGGTGGTTGACAAGAGTGCGGTGGGGGAAATAGATGCAGGTGGTAAAAGGATACAGAGTTCCAGTTATAAGATGACTAAGTCAGGGGGATATGATGTACAGCATGGTGACTCTGGTTAACGACAGTGTATTGTATATTTGGAAGTTGCTAAGAGGGTAGGTCTTAAAAGTTCTCAACACATACACACACACAAACTGTAAGGTGAGGTGATGGGTGTGTTAACTAACCTTACTGTGGTAATCACTTCACAATATATACATATATCAAATCAACACGTTGTACACCTTAAATTTACACAATGTTATATGTTAATTACATCTCAGTGAAGCTGGGAAGAAGAGAAAGGCATTAGTGGGAGGGAGAGGAGAGGAAGGACCCTTCAGGTGGGGGAGGAGCCCATGCAGAGTCTCAGAGGCTGTTTGCAGGACTGCAGTGACAGCAGTGATGATAACTAACTAATCGTTACGATCATAACGAACTTTTAGTTATAGAACTAATCACTCTAGCGCTGACTGTGTGCCGGCAGCCACTCTGAGAACTTTACATAGTGCATCATTTCATCCTTACAGTACACTGCGACCTGGGTACTACTATCTCCATTTTAAAGGTGAGGAGACTGAGGCACAGAGAGGTGATGTAATTATCCAAGGTCACAGAGCCAGGAAATGGTGAATCTGAGGTCCAAACCCAGGTTGTATGGTTCCAGGGCTCTTCACCACCATGCCACATTGCCTTTCCACAAGCATGAGTACTTTCCACCAGATGATGCCAGATGAGGCTGGAAGAGGCAGGCAGGGCCAACCCACAAAAGGGCCTGTTCGACCTGCTAACGAGACTGGACTTCAGAGTGTAGGCAATGCGGGCTCAGGAAAGGGTTTCATTCCACTTGGCATTTCATAGTGTGGATTTTAAAAGGTCACCCTGATTGCTGCCTGGAGAACGGTCTGGGGGCAGCAATTCTGGAGGCAGGGAGATCGTTCATTCATTCAACAAACATTTGAGTGTCTCCTTAGCATGAGCCACTGTGCTGGGTACTGTGGGTGAGACAGAGAACAAGGCAGACACAGGCCCTGCCGCCATGGAGGTTCCGTTCTAGAGGGAGGCTTCCAATGATCTGGGAGCTGTTTTTTTTTTTGTTTGTTTTGCTTTTTGCGGTACGCGGGCCTCTCACTGTTGTGGCCTCTCCCGTTGCGGAGCACGGGCTCTGGATGCGCAGGCTCAGTGGCCATGGCTCACGAGCCCAGCCGTTCCGCGGCATGTGGGATCTTCCTGGACCAGGGCACGAACCTGTGTCCCCTGCATTGGCAGGCGGACTCTCAACCACTGCTCCACCAGGGAAGCCCATGGGAGCTGTTTTGACAGCATCCTGGACTGGGCACAGGCGGAGGGGATGGGGAGAGGCAGAAAGACTTGGGAGGTCTAAAGCAGGAAGAAGCCACAGGCCACACTGAGATTGAGCAGACAGGGGATAACGGGGAGGCAGGGGCTACGATGACTGCAGGGCTTGGCCTGGGTACTGGGTTGCTTTCATCTTCACCAGATGTGGAGGGAGCAGGGCTGGAGGGTCACTTGGCACCTCCACGGGGACAAACCTAGTAGAAAGGGGCTATGTGGGTCTTATGCCCACGAGGAAAATCTGGTCTAGAAATACAGAATTTGGATTCAGCTCATAGAGGGTCATGAGAAGAATGAGGCCACCCAAGGGGAGACATCAGTCCGGACAGAACAGCTAGGGACACCGCAGGGACCAGCAGAAGGCTAGTCTGAGATCCTGCAGGGAGCGGAGCCCCGGAAGCTTAGAGGAGAATGAGTTTCAGGAAGGAGACCAACGGCATCGAACGTGGCAGGGAAGTGTAGAAAGGACTGGAAAGCAGGTCAGTGAAAGGAGCTCACGGGCAGGAGACTGAGTGTGATGGTGGGGCCGGCCCGGCACTGACGGGAGAAGAGGAAGACGATCCGGGAAGAGTAGATGACTCATAAAGAAGGCATTTCTTGGAAGTGAAGCAATAGGGAGAATTCAGGCGGCAACTTATGAGGAATATGGCCTTGAGGGGGCAGCTGAAAAGGCTTT